TTTATAATTATAACTGATATATCGGCCTAATTTTAGTAATATTCTCTGAAATAATTATTAAGAGAAAAACGATTATTATTATTGACATTACTATTTTAACACTATTAAATTTAAATATTGATTCAATAATTATGAAGAACGATAAACTGTCTACCGGTACCGTACACAATTTTTAACGTAATAAATAAAACTTAAAACCAACCCTTGGTTACTACATAATTAAACTTTGGTTATAATCTTTTCTTAAAATTATTCATTTTAAACGTCTTATCATTATTTAGCTGTTTAAGGATTTAACATTAACGAATCACAGTGATAGCAGCCATTTCCGGCTTCTTGATCAAAATAAAAAAATGACAATTTTGTACCCCCACTCCTTCGTGGGATGCATAACTTTTTATAGACAAAGTCAAGATAATAACTCAAATAATGAAAAAACTCTTAAAATGAATGTAGATTGGGTATCACTAAACCTTATTTTGGTTGCTTAACTAGTAAAAAAGTATTTTATACTATTTATATACTAACCGAGTCATTATTATAATACTGTCCGGGATACACAAAAAATCTAGTGGCATAAATCAATATATCACCGGAACACAAAAACTGATACGTCACTGATGAGGAAAGCATTATTTAATAAACAAAGGCTACGTAGTATGCAATTTTCCAAAGATACCGTGTATCACAAAAAATCTAGTGGCATAAATCAATATATCACCGGAACACAAAAACTGATACGTCACTGATGAGGAAAGCATTATTTAATAAACAAAGGCTACGTAGTATGCAATTTTCCAAAGATACCGTGTAGCCGTACGCCATATTATAGAACACATTTTATCGACATTTTAGGACATGCGCAGAACGGTGCGTGAACAAGTATTGTTATCCCTACCCTAACCTAAATCGACCCCTATGCCTATGCCTTTTTTAAAACCTGAACCCTAAATCGACCCCTCAACCTAACCTAAACCCTAATTCACTGCAACTATAATAAAGAATAGGGGTGTGCCGGACCCCGGTCCGGAATCCGGTTCCGCCGGATTTTGCACTATCCGGTGAAATCCGGTTCCGCCGGATTTACATGTATCCGGAACAACCGGATTCCGGAATCCGGAATATACCGGATTTCGGAATTTGCCAGATTTTGTGACTCACCGGATCATAATCTGAAATAAAAGTAATTCTCTTTCCCGAATTTCACACGATCACGATACATTAATCGATTGTTTCGAGCGTTGAGCTTGTTTAATGTTTAATATTCCGAACATACCAGAGGCTAGAGTCAGCACCGCTAATAGTGGCCAATAGTGTAGGGACTTTGATAAGAAAATTTAAACTTTTTGTAAAAATAAACCAATGGCATAGTTGAAAAGATGTAATTTTTTAAAGAATTATAACACCAAAATCATATTTTTAGCTGTTGTAGTTTTAAAGTTATGAATTTTTAAAGTACGACTTGGTTTGTCATTTTTTAACATGGACTGCATCTCCACATTCTGTGATCTCATTCCACCAATCCCGTCATGCGCAATGACTATATAGTTTATATAAGGCAACGCATTCCCTGCCTTATCACTAAAATACTGTTTAGACTTAGTTTAAACTTTCAACTTTGGCACATGAATAATTAATTAAAGCTTTCCCTGACCAATGGTTTAATAGTTTTTGCACACGGCAAACTCTTATGAATGAAACTCTGAGGTAGTACTACGATACAGTTATGCAAGTGGCTGTGAATGGTTGCCAATGACAACGTGTTGCACACGGTAAATTCTGATCATTTATAATATGGATTCTACCGGGTTGTTAAAGCTCAAATTAAAACATTCCAGTTTAAATGTCTTTAAATGCATTCTGAAACACAAGTTATCAATTATTTTGATGTAAATAGTGATAATAAATTAATATTTCCTAAGTATCGTCAACTTCCGCCATTAAAAAGGGGGGCGTGGCCAACCCCATGGCGAAATTAGGTTGAGCGAGCTGCATAACCTGCTGCGAACGCGTAGAAACATGGCGTCTCTCGTAAGACACTTATCCAAATGGAACGGAACTCAAATATATATCGAAAGTACTAATTTAATAATAAATAGACACACACATCGGAAAATTAAAAACTCGGATTTTTTGGCGCCGATTGCGAATTCCCATACACAAAAAGTAGTAGTCCACCTTGACTTACCGAAGTATCTACCAATAGTACCAAAATCCGGAATCCGGGAGAAACCGGAATCCGGATCCGGCGGATTTCGCATAAGAAAAACCGGATCCGGATCCGGTTGGAAAAAACGGATCCGGCACACCCCTAATAAAGAAGCAAAAGACACCATGGCATTCGTGCTCCACATTAGCCCTTACCACTTTTGGCAATTCGTTGAGAATTTTT